GGCGGATAGTACGTACAGCAGTACAAGTTGGTCGTGGATATAGATAGAAGACGTAAAGGGACCTACAAGTTTGGCGTGGTTGTAGATAGAAGACGTAAAGGGACCTACAAGTTTGGCGTGGTTGTAGATAGAAGACGTAAAGGGACCTACAAGTTTGGCGTGGTTGTAGATAGAAGACGTAAAGGGACCTACAAGTTTGGCGTGGTTGTAGATAGAAGACGTAAAGGGACCTACAAGTTTGGCGTGGTTATAGATAGAAGACGTAAAGGGACCTGCAAGTTTGGTGTGGTTATAGATAAAAGAAGTAAAGGGATCTTGAAATTTAATGTGATTTATACAGAAAGTTTGTATAGAAAACTTAGTTAAACTATCAATTACAATATCGGTGAGCCAGAAGAATTTGAACAAAACCTACTTCCTAAGTCGTTTTTTTATTTTTGTATTTACGTGTTATTAGTGTTGGAGTGAATATGTAACCTTTACGGATCCACCTTGTACATGGTTTGTTTGACAATAAATCATTCTAAGTAAATATATTGTTTAATAACTCGCACAACTACTTGTAAGTATATTCTGCATCAGTGTTTTTGTAGCAAGAAGTTTCAACTTTATACTTGAAAGATTAGCACACCATTTTATTTTTAGTATCTGCCATCAGATGTCACTACTAGCGCTTTCCTTTATGCATCATCAGATGACTTCACCAACACTTCCCTTTATTCGAATCCAGAAATAACAATTTCACAGATGAACTAAGGAGAAACAAATATATATGTGTGTGTATGTAATGCTTATACTTATTTGAAAAAACCCAAACTATCCAATAACCACATTCCAAATTCACAGGTTTTCTTTATATCTGTAGTCATCATGACATTTCATTGAGTTGTCTTAGCTTTTAATCATAAAGTTTGATATAAAATGATACATAAAGCTTGTTAAAGGTACTCTATACAGGTAACATTACTTTCTTTAGAGCTTGTTGTGCGAAACTCGATTTATTGACAACTGGAGGACAACCTTTGTTTCAAATAGTATAAAGAATAATAGAAGTGATAAATATACAAATTTCATATAAATGTTAGATTAAAATAGGTGGAAATATTACTGTTGACCGGCAGAGTTTACTTTTATTGTACACGTTTCTTGTAAATGTTGGTTAAGAACAGGAGGAAATTTTACTGTTGACCAGCAGAAGCTTATTTTTCTATTGTACAGATTTCTTGTAAATGTTGGATTAGGATAGATGGGAATGTTACTGTTGACTGGAAGAAGGTTATTATATAAGAACATGAACATAGACTTTTAAAGGCTTGAATACAGCTTCTTATTTATGATTTATACCGAAAACAATAAAGTAGTCGAGAAGTTAGACTTGTACTAAATGATTAAGAAAGAACCAAAATTTAGCATTTAGAATATTTACAGCTTGGAATCCTGTTGGTTGTATCCACACTATGCAAGTAATCTATAAAAAGCTGAAAGAACAAAAACACACCGACTTTCAAACTAATTGTATATATTAAAAAAACTAAAACGTTATTAATATATTTTGATGTTATATATAAATAAAATCTTCATGGTGTATAAAGCGTATAATTAAAGGACTCTATTACAAAAATATGACTTTTTTTCTGTTAATTATATGGCATAAGAAAAAGAAGAATACCAGTTGTAAGCTCGTTGCTTTACAGCGCATTTAGAATAGGGATCTAGTGATTAGTTTCTATTTTTTATTTTTATGTAAATCGGTGGACATTCCCGACATCTAATAAGGCAGTGCTAGAATTACTGCTTGATATAACAACTGTGCGAAAAAAACAACAAAGCCATTGAATTAACCCGTATCTGTAAAGCTGTCTCTCTCTCTGTTCGTAGCACTCCCTTTGTCGGTAACGTTCAATTTTCTGTTGGTAACGTTCAAATTTGCTCAGTGGTTCAAATACTTTCCGACTGAGGATTTTTTAAATTATTAGCCCATCTTATTAAGAGCAAGATATTACTATATTTTTTTTTGAAAAACAACAATAACATAATAGTTTTCACTAAGGATTTGAATAATATGTTAACATTTGATTACAAAAACTTTTCACAGTGATTATAGCGCTCGACTATCATGTGGAAATGATTGCGCTCGACCTAGGATTTTATGTTAATTTATTTATTATTATATTTATTTTTTATATATTTGTTATCATATTTACAACACGCTTTTTGAATATTCGGAAAAGTACAATTATATATTAAGACGGGGATAATATCATATTACATAATTAACACAAGTGACTGTATGTGTAAAAAAAAAACTTTAATATATTTTCAACCCAATGGATAGCGCTTTAATACATTATTATTAATGTTTTCTCACCTTGGGTAAAATATTTTTAAATTAGTTAGTCACATTTATAAGCATTTCTTATGAAAAGTTAAACTTTCGTGTGTTTGCCCTTCACCATCACAATTAATAAATCGCAGAGTCAGACATTTGACCATGTAGGAATATTTCTTCCACAACCGATTTTTTTTGCATTGTTTAATCTATAAGGCTTTATGAAAAAGCAGAGTTGAACACAAAATAAAATTATATAAAGTCAAAATTCTTATCAAGGACAACTTACAGAAAAAGACCAAATATACATAAAAAATAGGTTGTTTTCGTGAAATACTTGATATAGGATAGCCATTCTCCACAAACACACACACACACACATATATATATTGTTACTACAATATAATAAACTTTTAGAAAACATGTTCATAAAACATTTACTTATATTTAATTTTGGAAGAGAAATTAAATGTCATCTGATAGGCAGCTAGCTAGTAGATAACATCAATAATGTAACTGTCATCTGACGGACAGTCAGCTAGTACATAATAATAATGTAACTGTCATCTGACGGACAATTAGCTAGTAGATAATAATAATAATGTAACTGTCACCTGACAGACAATTAGCTAGTAGATAATAATAATAATG